TTAACCCCAGGATGTATGTCTTGCAAGAATAATTTATAGTTGTGGAAAATTACTATGAGTTAAGTGCTTTGAAAATGCTATATAAACCCTTGGCTCTGAGTGCTCGGGGTCCTTGTTGAGACCCGCTGCGTCGGGCTGACATTGGACCCCAGCTAGCTGGCTGAATAAAGACTTTGCTTGAATTTACATCTCTATGCCTGTGTAGTTTGTTCTCTGGAGAAGCCTCGGAAGCCTGGACCCTAACCACTAAGCTGGGTTTGGGTTCGATAGCAGTGGTTATTAGGTTTTGGGTTTCCCTCCATGGCTTCATGTTGCAGAATCAGGTTACAAGCTCAGAGATTAGGGTTAAGTCTTGTGGGTTCATGGTTTATGGGTTAGGGTTATGGTGACAAGGTACAGGCAATGGTTAAAGGTCATGGTTTAAGTTAACATTCAATGTAGTTTTGATTGTTAGGCTGAGGGTTAGTGCTAAGGTTTAAGGTAAGGGTTAGGAAATTTGTGTGTGTGTGTGTGTGTGTGTTATGGTTAGGGTTAGAGTGGAGGTTTAGTGTCTGGGATAAGGTAAGACTTAGGATTGGGGTAGAGTTAGGCACAGTTTTAGAATGAGGGGAATCAATTTTAATTGGGAAGCCACTCTCCATGGTAACTTATGCATGATATTGTCAGTGAGACTAAATTACAATGTGGAATTCTCTGAGCCATAGGAAAACAAACATATCACCTGTGGGTCATGCCTAATGTGATCATGTGTGCTGGGTTATGGCTAGATCTTGAATTCGTGTTTGATAACTGGTTAGGATTAGTGTGGATTTATGTTTTGGTTAGAGCTAGGATTGTGGTTTATGTGAGGGATGGGTTGAGTCTTTCAGCTAACAGTGAAGATCAAATGAGGGTGATTTTTGGATTAGGGCAAAGCTTTGGCTTAGGTATAGCATCAAATTTTGGCTTTGCTTGGAGTTATCTTAAGGGGATAGGGTTAGCATCAGGGTTCTGTTTGAATCTATGTCCAAACAGAGGTGTGGGTGAGGATTAGGGTGTGGGGTGAATGGTGATGTTTAGGGTGAGGGTGAGGAGTAGTCTTTAGGTCAACCATACCTATACTCATTTTCCGCGGGTATTGCTGGGCTCCGAGAGCTGCTATTTGTCATTTTTCCCAGAGACATTGCTTTTCTAGGAATGTGGCCACAGTACAGCACAAGAGCAGGACCCATGTTTATCAGGATTGGAAAGAACATGAATGGCTTTCTCTAGCAGCCATGTGGGTTATTACCATATCCCAGAAATAAGCACACATCTTGGATCTGGGTTCCATTTTCACTAATACAGCCAAGGTGATCAGCTCCCACCTCACCAAAATCCCACCCATGGCTGAAGTACTGGCCCTGAAGGAGGAACCTTCTCCCCTCACCAAGCACATTGTTGTCTTTAGAAAACAGTTGCCATTGTGATGTCATGGAATGTGCAAGCAAAACTGCTGCTCTTGCAAAGTCCTTGACTAGAGGGCATGCACTTCCCAACCATGTGAAGCTGCATCATATTAGACAGCAGACATTAGGGGTCCAGTCATATATATGGAGAGCTCTTGCACAGTATGCCCAATTGTGTGAGCCCTCCACACGAGTTCCACCCACACCTCCTGCATTCAACCAGCCTCACAGACCTCTATTCCCCTGGATCCTGTTCAGGGATCTGGATGAAATTCAAGGGCTTGAATCTCAGGGTTCTAATGTTCTGGGTTAATGTTTTGGATTTGCTCAGGGATTTATGTTGAGGTTCATGTATGAGTTTCTCACTTAGGGGAGTCAGACCTGGGGTTGGGTTTGGTTGCAGTGGTTATTAGGTTTTGGGTTTCAATCTAGGGTGTCATGGTATGGAATCAGGTTTGAAGCTAAGGGCTTAGGTTTCAGTCTTGTCGGTTCAGGTTTTCTGTGCTAGGGTTATGGTGACAGGGTTCAGGTAATGGTTAAGGTTTAGGACTAAAGTTAATATTCAACATAGTTTTGATTGTTAGGCTGACAGTTTGGGCTGTTTTAGGGTGTTAAGCATTTTGTGTGTGTGTGTGTGTGTGTGTGTGTGTGTGTGAGGGTTAGGGCTAAAGTGACATGTGGGTGAGGGTTGGTGTCTGGGATAGGGTAAGAGTTAGGATTAGGGATAGAGTTAGTCACAGTTTTAGAATGAGGGGTACCAGTTTTAATGGGGAGACTCTCTGCAAGGTAACATGCATGATATTGTCAGTGAGACTAAATTACAACATGGAATCCTCTGAGCCATAGGAAACCAAACAGGTCACTTGTGGGTCATGGTTAAGGTGACCTTGAATTAGTGTTTGATATGTGGTTAGATTTAGTGTGGACCTCTATTGTAGTTAGAGCTAGGATAGTGGTTTATGTGAGGGATCAGTTGAGACTTTCAGTTAACTGTGAAGATGAAATGAGGGCAAAGTTAGGGATTAGGGCAAAGCTTTGGGTTAAGTGTAGCATCAAATTGTAGCTTTCCTTGGATTTAGCTTAAGGGGATAGAGTTAGTGTGAGTGTTCCATTTGGACCTATGTCATCAGTGAGTAGTGGGTGAGGCTTAGGGTGAAGGGTGAATGCTGATCTTTATGGTGAGGGTGAGGAGTACTCTTCAGGTCAACCATTCCCATACCCATGTTTCCAGGGGTACTGCTGGGCTGAGAGAGCTGCCATTTGGCATTCTTCCTAGAGCCCCTGTTTTACGGGGAATATGGCTTCAGTACAGCACAGGTGCAGGACCCAGATTAAACAGGGTTTACACACCACACCTGCAGCATCTTTTCAGAGCCCCTCCTCTCAGGCCCACCACTCCTGCCCTGGGAGACTTCCCCTGTGACCCAAGGCTTTAGGTAGAGATGTGCAGCCAGATGGCCCCTCCTCATTCTAACACTTTCATTTCAATTTTTAAAAACTCGTGAGCCTGGACCAGCCCTGTTTCCATTCCAGAGTCCTAAAACAAGGAGAGTTACAGTCTAGAGGAAGAAGAGAAATGGGGTCTAGTGTGGGAATGACAGGTAGGGGCAACAGCAAAGTGGCCAGGAATCTCTTGTTTCCTAATCTTGGGAACTGGGTCTGAAGGAGGAGGGAAGGAAAGGTTTTCCTGTCTGGAAAACAAGGGATGTGCTGAATCATTCACAAGATCGCTTCCAACTCTAAATCACAGTGATACTTCAACAGTGATACTGTTAACCTCTGCTCTAAGGAATTAAATTTCCAAGATCACATCTAGGAAGCAAGGTTAAAGGAAAAGGAATCAAGTCCTCCACAAGTCAGGAAACAATGAAAGAAGAGCAAAAGAGCCAAGAATACCAGCAAAACCAACATTGGTCTTTATTGAGGTGTCAAGGTAGAATAACACCATGAAGGAGAAGAGGCTGAGGACCTGAAGAACACAGAACATTATTTAAGGATTTCTTAGAGTTGCAGGCCTAGGTCTCTTGGCTAGGAGAAAGTCAGTGATTTGGGTGCTCACAAGGACTGCAGGAAGGCCCTGTATTTGGCCAGGAAAGGGGAAGACAGAGTATTTAGCTCTTGTTGAAGTTCCTGCAGAGCCCTGTCCTGCTCTTGCTGCTCCCCCACTACCTGCTGCCTGTAATAGTTGATGTAGAAGTTCACCCAATCATCCACCATAGTCACCATAGCTTCTTCAGGGACAGGAGGATCAGAAAAAACCTGGGGGATAGGAAATATCATCAACAATATGATTCAAGAGTAACCCACAAACTCCAACTTCCTCTTTTCTCTAATTTGCATTCCCTGTCTCTAGCTGTTTCCATCAGCTCCTCCATTTCTCTCCCAGCTCCAGTGCCCTCACCCACTGCCCCCCAATCCTCTAGACATGTCATTTGAAACATAGGGCCTGGGCTTACCTGCTGATTCAGCAGAACATTAAATTTTTTCATTCCTGTGGAAATGAGATCTTTATTGGTCTGCAGAAGGGCCATCTGCCTGGTTAGAGAAAGAGGTAGAATTTAAGTATCCTTTTCCCTCATCTCTTGGTATTTTCCCCAACTCCCTCACTCCCCTTAAAGATCCTTGATGCTCTACAAGACCACCTCCCCTTGAATACCTTTCAAAGCCTGCCTTGCTCTGAGATGTTTCTCCAAGGTTGGCTCACCTTCAGGTCCAACAGTTCTGTGGATGTCTCACCCACAGTTTTCAGGGTATATTTGTCCCTCTGTGCCAAGCTAGATGTAGGTGTGGAGTCAAGCGTCAGCCTAAGAGGGAAAACGCCCTGCATTAGGTTCTGAGGGAGGGAGATACATCAACCAGGGGAGGGGAAGGAAGGAGAGGTTTCTCTGAAGTTAAAAGATAACAAGTTCAAGAAAAAGAGATAAGCAGGGGTCCCAGAAAACCAAACCAAGTACAGATCTTTGCTCTCTGCCCCATATCCCAGTGTCCAGGCTCCAAATGCTAACAAAACTAACATTAACTGACCCCATTACATGACAAGCACTTTTTAAATTGAAATATTGTTGATATACATTATACTGATGTCAGGTGTAAACAAAGTGATTCAACAATTACCTACATTACTAAATACCATGGTAAGTGTAGTTGCCATCTGTCAATATATAAAGATATTAGAATATTACTGACTATATTCCCTATGCTATACTTTAATCCCTGTGACTAATTTATTTTACAATTAAAAATTTGTACCTCTTTATCCCCTTCACCTGTTTCATTCATCTCATCACCCTCCTCCCCTATGGCAACCACTAGTCTGGTTTCTGAGTTTATGTCTCTCTCTGTTTTTGTTTGTTCACATGTTTTGTTTTTTAAATTCCACATATAAGTGAAATCATAAGGTATTTGTCTTTCTCTGCATAACAAGCACTTTCAACTCATCACAAAAATATTGTGGTAATTATTCTCCCAATTCACATATGACATACTAATAGCAGCTTACATTACAATTAGCATTTGTGCCAGGCACTGTTTCAAGCATGTATTAAGGTATTTATCCTTATTAAAAAATCCTATTAGGCAGGTACTAATAATAGCCACATTTTTTCAGATGAGCCAGCCATCTCATATAATAGAGTAGTCACTGAACTCTACCAGGCTGCACTCTACAAGAATGGAGACACATTTGTCTTGTTCTCTACCTTATCATCAGGTACCCAACAAAGTGAAAATACATTTTTTCTTCTTTTTAAATATTTTTCTACTGTTTTCTATTTTTAATAGATTATTTTCAAATTTTAAAATCCACATATTAATTGAAATAAGTGAAACAAAATTATCATTTCCCCCCCAACAGAGTAAACAACTTTAAGATGTATTTCCTATCACATCTTTCTCCATTCAAAAACTAACAATTATAGGAAATCTATACACTCACAGAGGCTTTGTTGATTGTTTTTTGTTTGTTTGTTTATAGCATTTTCTTAATTAACATACAGGAAAACTGACTTCTTTCTGGTATACAATTTATTCGTTTTAATATTTAAATTCATGTAACTGCCACCACAATCAGGATATGGAACACTTCCATCACCTCAAAAAACCCCTTCATGATACTCCTCTGTAGTCACCTCCACTCCCATCCCTAAACCCTGCCAACCACTGATCTGTTCACTGCAGTTTGGTATTTTTGAGGATGTCCCATAATGTAATCATGTACTGTTTACCACTGAGAATGACTTAAGGTTCATCCAAGTTGTTGCAAGTAGCAGTAAATTCTTCATTTTCATTGCTGAGTTTGCATCACATGGATGCACTGTAGTTTGTTTATTCATTCACCACTGAAGGACATAAGGATTGTTTGTAGTTTTTGGCAAGCATGAATAGAGCTATTATAAATATTTGTGAACAGATGTTTGTGTGAAGAGGTTTTCATTTATCTAGGGTAGGAAATATTTGTTGCCACTAGGAGAAAAAATTGAAATATAACCTGACAAAGAACATGTATACAGACTTTATAATAAACTCTTATAGTTCACTAATATGACAACTCAGTTTTTTCAATGGCCAAAAGATTGGAACATGTACTTCACAAAGAAGATAACACAAATAGCCAATAAGCATATGAAAATATATTCAACTTTAAAGGAAATGCACATTCAAGTGGCAACATGATATTACTACATGTCTACTACAATGACTAAAATTTTGGAAGACTGCAGTTGGTGAAGATAGGAGACAACTAGAATTCCCATACATTGCTAGTGGGAATGTAAAATGGTACAACCACTTTGGAAAACAACTTGGCAATTTCCTATAAAGTTCAACATACACTTACCACATGACACAGCAAATGCACTCCTAGGTATTCATGAGAAATGCACATACATGTCTACAAAAATACTTACATGCAAATGCAAATGTCCATAGCAACTTTATTCACAATAACCAAAAATTAGAAACAAATGTGTAATAACCAGTGAATGGCTATATGAATTGTGGTGTATTCATATAATAGAATACTACTCAAGCAGTAAAAGGAACAGATAAATGGTATTTATGACAACATAGATGAATCTCAAAATCATTACACTGAGCAAAAGAAGCCAGACATGAAATATTATATACAGTGTAATTCCATTTCTATAAGATTCTAGAATAGGCAAAAATAATCTATAATGACAGAAAGCAGATCAGTGGTTACCTGGAATCAGAATACAAGAGAGGAGATTAAAATGCAATAGTGCCTAATAGAACTTTTTTAAATAATGGAAATACATATCTTGATTATGATAAGCATTTTCATACACTGTTGGAGTGTAAACTGGTACAGTTTTTAGACAGATAATTTGACAATACTTGTTCAACTTAAAATACATACATTTCAACCCTACAATTCTGTTCCAGACTCTATTTTAAAGAAATATTCTTATTCAATACACAGAAAGTTCTGTACAAGGGAAGTTATACCAGTTTGTACTAATAAAAAGGCGAAATAACCCAAACTTGAGTTAATATAGAAGAAATTGTGGGAAATTCATGACATGCAGCTATTAAAGTAAATGAGGTAGATACATATATGCCAATATGAAAAACTCTCTAAGACAAAAGCTCTCTAACACAAGTTAAATGAACTATAATTAGAGCAGGCTACTAGAGGTTGTGAGTATGGGACTATGGAAATGAAGATTAAATATAAAATCATATATTTCTCTCTGTGTGAGTGTGTGTGTGTGTGTGTGTGTGTGTGTGTGTGTGTGTGTGTGTAGAATGCTAAGCAATGTTTACTTCTGGAGATTTGTTAGTATTTGTTCGAAAATGGAAAGTGATATCAAAGGAGACTTTGACCTTATCTATATGTACTGTTGTTTGATGAATTATTTTACAGGGAGAATGTATCTTTCTATTATTTTTATAATTACTTTAAAAAAATAGAAAAGATGGTGTAGTTCTAAAATCATTAGCATCAAATTTGAGTCCTGCCTCAGTGCTAGAACAGTAGCAGCTGCTTACTATTTGTTGAATGAATAAATGAATGTATAAATTTTCACATTTCAGCTCTGTAACCTTGGTAAAGTCACTTCACATATATAAGCCTGTTTCCTTCTCATGAAGGAGAAATAAAAACACTATCTTACAAGGGCTATTGGGAAAATAAATTCATTCATTCCACAAATAGCTGTCTGGCAACTACCTAGTGCCAGGCACTGGTATATGGCACTGGGAATATATCAGTGCCCAAAAAAAAGAAAAGAAGAAAAAGTTTTTTTCCTCCTGGAGCTTAGGTTCTAGTTGGGGGAGTGAGAGGGTGAATATTAGGGGTGAAGTCTGAGAGATAGGGTGGGGCCCAATCTACAGAGTTTTGTGGGCAATGACAAGAAGATTGTGTGTTTATTTATTTATTTTTATTAAGGTATCATTGACATACACTCTTATTAAGGTTTCACAAGAATAACAATGTGGTTATTACATTCACCCTTATTATTGAGTTTCCCCCATACCCCATTGCAGTCACTGTCCATCACTGTAGTAAGATGCCACAAAGTCCATATTTATCTTCTCTGAGCTACGCTGCCTTCCCAGTGACCCCACACACATCATGTGCACCAACCATGACACCCCACAATCCCCTTCTCCCTCCCTCCCCAGTTACCCGCCTCCCTCCCTCTCCACCACCCCTCCTCTCCATACTGCTTTCCACAATAGTTGAACTAGTTTACATTCCCACCACAAATCCCTTCTTGGAGTCTGGGAGTCTGCTGCTATTTTGATCCCTCTGTTTTGCTTCGTTGTTATACTCCACAAATGAGGGAAATCATTTGGTACTTGTCTTTATCTGCCTGACTTACTTCACTGAGCATACCATCTAGCTCCATCCATGCTGTTGCAAATGGTAGGATTCGTTTCTTTCTTATGGATGAATAGTATTCCATTGTGTATATGTACCACATCTTTATCCATTCATCTAATGATGGACACTTAGTTTGCTTCCATATCTTGGCTATTGTAAATAGTGCTGTGATAAACACAGGGGTGCATATGTCTTTATGAATCTGAGAAGTTGTTTAATTTGGGTAAATTCCTAGAAGTGGGATTCCTGGGTCAAATGGTATTTCTATTTTTAGGTTTTTGAGGAACCTCCATACTGCTTTCCACAATGGTTGAACTAGTTTACATTCCTAACAGCAGCATAGGAGGGTTCCCCTTTCTCCAAATCCTTGCCAACATTTGTTGTTCCTACTCTTTTCTATGTTGACCATCCTAACTGGTGTGAAGTGTCATCACACTGTGGTTTTAATTTGCATTTCCCTGATAATTAGTGATGTGGAGCATCTTTTCATGTGCCTGTTCAGGCCATCAGAATTTCTTCTTTGGAGAACTGTCTGTTCATATCTGCTGCCCATTTTTTAATAGGGTTATTTGCTTTTTGGGTGTTGAGGCATGTGGGTTCTTTATATATTTTGGATGATAACTCCTTGTTGGATATGTCTTTACAAATATATTTTCCCATACTGTAGGATGCCTTTTTGTTCTGCTGATGGTGCACTTTACAGTACAGAAGCTTTTTAGCTTGATGCAGTCCCATTTCTTCATTTTTGCTTTTGTTTCCCTTGCCCAAGGGGATAGGTTCAGGAAAAAGTTGCTCATGTTTATAGTCAAGAGATTTTTGCCTATGTTTTCTTCTAAGAGTTCTGTGGTTTCATGATTTACATTCAGGTCTTTGATCCATTTTGAGTTTACTTTTGTGTATGGGGATAGATAATAATCCAGTTTCATTCTCTTGCATGTATCTGTCCAGTTTTGCCAA